CTTGGGGCGGCCCAGTCTGAAGGAAGGTCTCTGGAGGGGCGGCTGGACTTGGCCCAGTGGTGGGGGGCAGCTAGGATCTGTAGAAGGAAACAGACAATTTCCTCTCCTGCTGGGAGGGGGGGGTCAAGTCAGCATCAGGCTGGTGATGTTCCTGTCCTGGGGTGTTGGCGGGGGGGCCCAGTGGTGGGGGGCAGCTAGGATCTGTAGAAGGAAACAGACAATTTCCTCTCCTGCTGGGAGGGGGGGGTCAAGTCAGCATCAGGCTGGTGATGTTCCTGTCCTGGGGTGTTGGCGGGTGGGAATTGGTTGCTTCACAACTTAGCTGCCTTTCATTTTCACCCTGACCGGACGCCTTTTACTTTCACCCAGAAGTCAACAAGACCTGTTTGAAATTGAAGTAGTTCTTTTTACTGAACAAGTGGCTGTGATCTCTTATTTATCTTGAATTGTGTTTCTTTCTCTTCAGGTGTCTGTTGGGCCAATTCTGTAGAGAGGAAAATCTATATCCCCTTAAACAGAACTGCCCCATGTGTTCGTCTTTTGAATGCCACTCATCAAGTAGGCTGTCAATGTAAGTGTTGTTAATAGTGATTTTACTTTAAGTTGTAGAGGCAGCCACCTTTTTCACTAGGGGTGCGTTTACACAGCAGGGCTTACCTAGGAATAAGCTACGCAAATTGAGCTACATCAGTTGCGTAGCTTAGTTCGAAATAGCTCATTTCGAAATTGGGAGTGTCTACACTACACTTATTTTGAAATAGAGCACTCTTCCTCCAACTTCCCTTACTCTTCATACAATGAGGGTTACAGGAGTTGGAGTAAGAAGTGCTACAGCTTGACAGTATTTTGACATTATTTCGAAATAACCACCTGCTGTGGAGACACGGACTAAGTTCTTTCAAAATAACATTACTGTGTAGACGTACCCTTGGAGAACACTAAAAATGTTTGTTTCTGGTTTCTGAACTCCTTTTAGTTGGTCAAAGACTTTTTGGCAATTTAGTGCCAAAAAGCGAAAGCCATATACTTAGTTGTGATCACATTACAAGCCATGTGGGAGATGCTGTCACTTCACTGCTTCTCCTGTTTCCCCAACCTCAAGTGCGTCAGAGATTCTGAGATTGGCCTAAAATCATTAAATCAAGGCTGCATTTCTGGTTTCTGAACTCCTTTTAGTTGGTCAAAGACTTTTTGGCAATTTAGTGCCAAAAAGCGAAAGCCATATACTTAGTTGTGATCACATTACAAGCCATGTGGGAGATGCTGTCACTTCACTGCTTCTCCTGTTTCCCCAACCTCAAGTGCGTCAGAGATTCTGAGATTGGCCTAAAATCATTAAATCAAGGCTGCAATAAAATTCTGAGACCACTTTGTATATGCAGCCCAAAATTGCTTTGATCTCTCTTGTTGCTGTGTGTAGCCTATGGCGTTAATCTGCTTAATCACTTAAAAGTATATGGATTTATTAGTATGGTTTTAATTACTATAGTTTATAGTAAGTTTATATTGGCAATGTGCCTGCAATGCAAGGGGCTTACAGCCACGTTCTGTCATGCTGTGAAGTCCTATCACAGTCGTACGTAATTAACTTAATATCCATGAGATGTTAGTAGATTTCATCATATTCAAATAGTAAACCTTTGAGCTCTGGTGAAATCTTCCTTAATGTCTTCCCCAAAGCAAGCTGCTATATGCACTGACTTGTCCCTCTGTAGTGCAAGCCTCTCACTGTGAAATGTCTTTCAATTTTTTTCTGTAATGTGATTTTTTTTGTCCATTTCCTTGAGTTTTGTACAGGCAAATTCTGATTAACTTCAGCACGTGTAGGTACTTCAGTAAGATGACCTGCCTCCCATGCTGCTGTCGGTCACGTGTCCTGTGTTCCTATGGAGTTGGTTCCAGAGTGTGTAATCAGTTGAGCATCTTCCCTAGCACATGCTTTCCTCTGTCCAGCACATTATTTTAAAACCCTCGTGGGCTGAGGTTTTAGCTTGTTCATGTTGTGCAGTGGTTGTACTACAGGTTGGACCTCCTTGGTCTGGCATCACCAGGACTGACCAGTCCCTAATGAGAGAATTTTCTGGACCAGGGGAGGTCTCCTGCCCCCGGCTCCCAAGCCCATCACCTTCTGCTGGCAGGCTGTCCCAGCAGGCATCATGCCTCTCCCTCCCTCACCCCCAACCTGACTGGGTTGCTTGCCCAGCTGCTGCTGGCTTCCTGGTCAGCAGAGGCTTCAGCTCCTGCTGTAGGGTTCCAGCCCAGCGCATCTGGGGTCAACCGTGGGGCTCCAGGGGGCTGCTGTGGGGTTCTAGCCCTGGGGTTGCTGCGGGGTTCTAGCTCGGCCCCGCGCTCCAGCAGGCTGCTGCCGGGCTCTGACTCCACGGTGCTGTGGAGCTCGACTCCAACCCTGCACTCCAGGAAGCTGCCTGGGGACTTGAGTCCTGCTCTGCTGTGGGGCCCTGACCACAGCCCCAAGCTCCCAGGCCCTGCTGTGGGGCTTCAGCCCCACAACAACCCACGCTGCTGCAGGACTCCGGCCTGGCCCTGCGCTGCTGCTGGAGGCTGCCGCGGGACTCTGGCTCTGGTTTTGCGCTGCCCCAAGCCAGGCTGCTGACCCTATTGCCCTGGCCCCGGCCGTCCCTCCTGCCCTTTGGCTCCCGGCTCTCTGGTCCAGGAGCATGTGTGGTGATGACGGATGTTGCCGGAGCAGAGAATGCCACTTTTGGAGGTTTGTGGGGTTTGGGGATGACAAGGGCAGGGTGACAGGGAATGAGCACTGGTCTAACAGACTCCCTCCGCTGCTCTTGGTGCTGTGAGAAAGGGTTTCCTGTGACTCAGCGTTTTGTTAATTTGTGGTTGAGTCTCATGGTGTGTCCTTGGAGTGAGCTGTGCTTCCAAGCGAGCCCTGACAGCAGCAGTTGAAGAGCAGAACAGTTGTGCATGGTCTTCCACCCTGCTGTAGGGGGTGCTCCCACTTTTTCCTACCGTGGTGTGAGCCACCTCTTAATACAGATTGTTGTAGGGGCACCTCCTTTCCCAATCCCATAATACTTAGTACTGTGACAACTACAGCAACTGCTGAGCAGGAAAGGTGATCGTGTCTGTCTATCTTGAGCTGTGTCTGATGCAGTAAGTGCTGCTGGAAAACGTTAAACTTGTCATTTTATGCCAGTCCCAGTTTGTCCTGCTCTGCTCTCCCCTGCACAAGGCTTCTCTGCTGCATGGACCCCTCCTGGCTCACCGCATGTTCTCCCCTTCTTGTAGTTCTCCAGATGAGCTCTAAGCTGATTTGTCCCCTTTTTTCCTTGCTGTTGGCTGGCCCCGTGTTCCCGATGAGTTAAACACTTGGGCTCCCACCCAGGAGAGATTCAAGTGCTGCCCAGCTGATCAGCGGAGTGCCCGCAGCTGGCAGCATGTGCATCTACTGGTAGTGCACATCTGCACATGCCTTGGTGCACAGAACAAAATTTGTTCCATACATGGATGAAAAAAACTCGAGGGAACACTGGCTGGCCTCTTCTGTTTCCTCCTTGTGCTCCCCATCACTGTCTCTCTTTTCCCCTGTACGCAGGAATGTTCATACTCAACATCTTCCCACTTGCCCCAAGAGGCAGGTGTGTGTTGGGGTTGTTTCGGCCTGCTGTCTTGGTTCTGCACATATGACAGAGGCCGCAGAGTAGACTTTGGCTGACCTGCCCAATAAATCTACAGACTTTGTAGTGAAGGCCTGTGGTCCGGTTTATTGCCGATGAAGCACTGTCCTAGCTCCCTGGATCAATGTCTGCAGTTACATTAGCACATGTGTGCCTGTGACAATGGCTGCAGCCCAGTCAGCGCTGGGACTTCCCAATGCCCCCTGGCCTGGCCAAAGGCTCCATTGCATGCGTCGGTACAAACACGTTACGTATTGCCTCGCTGACGTCGCTAGGTAACATTCGCTGGGCAGCCTGTAGACCCACATCTCTGTCCGTCATCCTGCCCTTATCTTTTGGGTGCCTCTTCTCTTAGGGAACACGTTGGTATCAGGGTGCTCTGACCCGCCCTGCTAGAATGTCTGTGTGTGAGTGTCCTGAGCTTACACCTCTTAGGGATGTTTCTGCGCCATCCGCCCTGCCTAGCTCACAGCCTGACTTGGCTTTAGAGCAGCACAGTTTTGACCGCTACTTTGGCCCAGACCTCTCAAGCACCTCGTATGTGTTAGCCTCTCTTAGGAAGGGCCAGACCAAAGGTCCATCTGGCCCAGTGTCCTGTCTGCCCACAGTGGCCAGTGCCAGCTGCCCCAGAGGAGTGAACAGAACCGGGAATCGAGTCTGTCGCCCGTTCCCAGTTTCTGACAGCAGAGGCCAGGGTCAAACAGGCCAGGGACTCGGGTGACGTTTAATTGGTTGATGAGGCTAAAGTACATCAGACTGTTCAGATAAAATCTGTGTTAGAAGTGCAGGTGGTTATTACAATCTCTACAGCATCACTTCACTGCATCATCCTACACCCCCTGAGCAGAGTCCCCAGAAGGGGAAGCAGCAGCCATGGCTTGGGGTTTCCCCGCCCTCCTTGGGGGGGGCCCCAGGCTCCCCACTGGCCCTCAGCTCCCCTGCAGGAGAGCCAGGGGGC